ACTCCTACTCCTACTCCTACTCCTACTCCTACTCCTACTCCTACTCCTACTCCTCCTTTTCCCAAGGGTGGATTCAGCCAAAATTTTTGGGGGGGGGGGGGCGCTAGTTGAGTTTCTTCCGTCAACACAACGGAAAACAATAAATAGAGCATCTGATTCTTCAGTTTTGTTTCGTTTTTTTTTTTCTACTGAAGGGGGGCTTCAGCCCCCTTTGCCCCTCCCCCCTGGATCCGCCCTTGTCTCCTTCTCCTTCTCCTCAGTCTTTCTCCTTCTCACCAAATTAACCAGTTTTGTCATGTCATTATTGCCTACCAGATGATGAACTTTCACTACATGTGTTTGAAGATCCCAAAGAAGTTGTTTCAACAGTAAACGATAAAGGTATATTACTTACACGTCATGGCATCTTGCTTAGCTGCGTCTTATGATAGATCCCTTGGCCTTGTGAGTAATGTTTTCTCATTTCAGACCACGTGTCATTCTCTTTAGTATAAGATTCTTTGTTTGAAGTGCATTCATATTCATGTGTCTTGTCATGTGCAACTGTTAAACAAAGAAATGATACTCAAGGAAATGTCACTTGGTCTGAATTGGAAAACATTACACCCAAGGTACAGAACTATTGCAACCTTTAAACAAAGGAATGATACTCAAGGAAATGTGACTTGGTAAACAGTTCTATTCTCCATTCTCTTCTTCGTCTTCAGAACAAGATATTTACGTGGACAAACGGATAACATTGTCTGAACTCAAAGAGAAGCTCGTTCCTCTTGTCGACTGTGATCCAGATTTCTTTAGGGTTGGTATACTAAAACAAACGTCTTGCTGCAGAAATCAGCGTCACAACTGGAACCAAAACTCCCTATTACTAACTCTTGTATTTCGTTCACTTTGAGAAAATAGACAAAGGAATTGTCCCTAGCCCTAATTTCACCCCATCTTTAATTTAACGGCCTGGGCCCGGCTGTACCAAGGGTGTATCTGATGGATAATCCTTATCCAGTGGATAAGAAGATATGAACTTATCCACATGAAATATGCGCGTTATAAATATTATTATATTAAGTCGATGCTGTTATCCAATAAATGTATCCATAGGGTAAGATATAGTTTGTTGCGCTGTTGTTCCCATAAATCTCTTCAGGTCGTTAAAGCGTTTTCACATATTTTTAACATTTTGTACACATGTTTTGTCTCAGGTTTACAGAGTTTATTCTAACAACCAGGAAATCGAATTGACACGTTTGAACGACACGTTAAATAATTTCATTGATGAGACTAAGGTAATGTGCGGTGCGGTGCGGCGCGGTGCGGTGCGG